GTTTAGCTATATATATCTATATATATATGAATATCTCACATTTTTCAAGTCACTATATCACCGTTTAGACTAATGTGATGTTTGTAAAGTCTATAAACACAATGACTGAACAAACATTACTATTTCTGTGTGCACGTTTTGTAATTAATAACATGGTTATCGTAGATTAGCTGGGCTAACTGTTAGCTGTTAGCGGTGTCTGTAGTAACTCAGTACCTCAATAAACGGTCCGTGAAAAAAATATTTTTTCCAGTAGATATCTTAGTTACAACATGATTGAGCTAGCAAAGCAGTTTTGTGTTGCTATGTGTGGTATTTATTCAGTTTTGGGAAATCACGATGTCTAGAAAGCATCAGTGGCTGCAGCTGACAGGGACAGCTAACAGCAGCAGCAAAGCCAACATTAGGACATCATCTGTTAAAAGCCTCCCGTTGTCGGATACGACATGAAACTACACCAGTTAGCTCAATCATGTTGTAACTCAGACATCCGCTGGAAAAAATATTTTTTTCACGTTGACGAGATGGCGTTTTGGTTGGAGCGGTCACCATGGACGCGGAGCTTGCTGTTTCTGTAGGTACACATTTCCTGGGGACACCTGCACGTCTCGGCCCGACCCCTCAATTGTGATTGGCTAAAGCACAGCATCGTTCAAACAGAGATATTGGCAGAGATATTGGATAAAGGAGATACCCCACCGTAGGCTTATCCAATGTTTATTTTTATTATTTTTTTCATTATTCTTTTTGGGTGTGTTTTCTGTTTTGGATTGCTGATTCTTTACACCCTCTGTCTGATAAGTGCCTCAACAAGATTGGTTAATTTCCCCTCATCCTCATTTTCCAATGAGAGACCGTTTGGTTTCAGGATGTGTGTATTTAACTGCCATTGTTCTATCAATACCTGTTTGACTCTGAAGGAGACGCAGTAGTGTCGAAACGTCAGTTTGTTTGCACCTTATTAAAAGCTCTGCAATTTTATCGAGTGCTCCAGCCTCCTTTCATTTGGGTTCAGTCATTTTTTGAAGTGGCCCACTTGATTTGGTGTCAAAGATAGTAAGGATTGGCTAGGACTATCTTGTTAAGGACAAAAACAGATCAATCTCACTATCACTGCTGTGGTATCATCCTTTCCCACCTACAAAACTAGTTAATGGTTTTATTAAGTTCTTGTATGATCTAATTTAAAAAATGTTTTTTTTAATAAAATTAGAATTAACGCCGCATGGTTGTATGCCTCTGCATACCAGTCAAGTTTCTCTTAGAGTTTAACTCCAAGACTGTGAAAACATGAATGCATCAAACACATCTTCCCCCCAATGGCACATAAGCTCTTTATCAACAGTTTCAAGGTGGACACCCAAAATTAGTGTCACCAAATCAGCATCTGACCAAGTATCTCCCCTTCTGTTCCTGAGATATGACATTGAATAATGGTCAGAAAAGTATTTTTGCAGAACATTATGATGTCACAGTGAAGTTGACCTTTGACCTTTTAGATATAAAATGTCATATCATTATATACTATTAGACATTTTTGTCCAGCTTTGTCATAATTAGTATGTATTCTTGAGTTATGACCAAAATCATATTTTTTGAGGTCACATTCACCTTGACCTTTGACAACAAAATTCTAAACAGTTCATTATTGAGTCCAAGTGATTGTTTGTGCCAAATTTATAGAAATTCCCTCAAGGTGTTTTTGAGATATCACATTCACAAGAATGAGACAGACAAGGTCAAAGTAACCTTGATGTTTGACCTTTGACCACCAAAATCTAATCAGTTTATCACTGAGCCCAAGTGGACATTTTTGCCAAATTTGAAGAAATTAACTTGAGGCGTTCTTGAGATACCACATTCACAAAGATGAGATGGACGTACATACGTATGTATACACAATAATGAGACACCTCTGAGATGACAATTAAGAAAAAAGATTCTATTTTATTGGAAAAATAATCCACACACTGATAATCAGCTCCTGTTATCATAAATGCCACATTTCAGTCAGATAGACCCCATCAATCATTTACTAGGCTACTTTCCTGCCCTTTGCCCTGGTAGCAGAAACAGTGTGTATGTACATATTTCAAATACATTCACGTTGTTTCTACCTCAACCACTATGACTGGCTATATTATCAGTACTAATACCAGTACCTTTAAAGTAATATCAATATCAGTAGAGTACATCATGTGATACCCATTAATGTGAACAGAGTGGCGTGTAGTTTCCCATAAAACTTCAATTAATAGCCCGGGCTATTTTTTGCTTTGATCACTGAACTCAACCAGTGTATATTTGGGACAGGTGTCTGTATGGGACAGGCCTTTGATTCCTTTAACACAAAACTCTTGCTCAACAAACTGGGAAAATTGTTTATTTGAACCAGTGTGACTATTAGGCTACTTCTGTTGAAATTTTAACATACCAATTACGTGTCATTCATTTGATCTAGCTCCCACATACAGCACATCTATGCTAAACTCAGGGTGAGCTCCGTGCAAGGGAAAGTTATTAAAGTCCGCCTAGCTGTACACACAGGGCTAGCATCACATGGCTAACATTATTACTCAACAGTTTGCATGGTGTTAGATATTAGCTGCAGCTGTGTAGCACGTGTCTACCAGGCAGACATTAAACTGACCATTCGCCGGAGGGATAGAGGCTCTAACGAGCGCTACAACACAAAGCTCAGGCTTGCCCTATACCAGCCCCTAGTTAGGCTGACTTAGGCCTAGTCTGCCGGAGGACCCCCTATAATACACCGGGCTCCCTCTCTCTCTCTCTCTCTCTCTCTCGTATCCTATTACTGCATCTTGCTAACTCGGCCATTCTGGATGTCACTAACTCGGCTTCTTCTCCGGAGCCTTTGTGCTCCACTGTCTCTCAGATTAACTCATATCGCAGCGGTGCCTGGACAGCGTGACGTGTGTGGTTGTGCTGCTGCCGTGGTCCTGCCAGATGCCTCCTGCTGCTGCTGCCATCATTAGTCATTAGTCATACTTCTACTGTTATTACACACATATGACTATTGTCACACAAGTATACTGTCAGATATTAATATATACTTTCAACATATTGTACCACAGTAGCCAGAACTATAACTATAATATTATTACTTTCATTAATGTTGTTGTAAGCTACTGTCATTACCTGCATCTCTCTCTCTCTCTCTCTCTCTCTCTCTCTCTCTCTCTCTCTCTGTCTCATTGTGTCATACGGATTACTGTTAATTTATTATGCTGATCTGTTCTGTACGACATCTATTGCACGTCTGTCCGTCCTGGAAGAGGGATCCCTCCTCAGTTGCTCTTCCTGAGGTTTCTACCGTTTTTTTTCCCCGTTAAAGGGTTTTTTTGGGGAGTTTTTCCTTATCCGCTGTGAGGGTCTTAAGGACAGAGGGATGTCGTATGCTGTAAAGCCCTGTGAGGCAAATTGTGATTTGTGATATTGGGCTTTATAAATAAAATTGAATTGAATTGAATTGAAAGTCTGCAGATCTGGCGAGGAGGCGGGATGTCGTGACTTCCAGGGCGTAAAGGAGATGTTTTCATACTATTTGGTACCGGGTTATTTCAGGTGATACCTTAAAGATATTGAGTACCGAGCCCTGTCAATGACTAAACCCATTTTGGGCGGACAGTAGGCCAGTCGCAGTCTCATTTACTGCTGCAGCTCTTTGTGACACATTTGTGATTTTTCACACGCGACTGTCTGGTGAATTTTCTACCACAAACACAGCAACTGAATGATTTCTCCCCTGTGTGGATTGTCATGTGTTGTGTCAGATGTCCTTTTTGTGTAAATGTTTTATCACAAACTGAGCAGCTGAATGGTTTCTCTCCTGTATGGATCCTCATGTGTTTTAACAAGGACTGACTCAGACTAAAACTTGTATTACACACTGAGCAGCAGTATGGTTTTTCTCCTGTATGAACTCTCATGTGTCTGGCCAGGATACCACTCCGGGTGAAACGTTTGGGACAGAGTGAGCAGCTGAATGGCTTCTCTCCTGTGTGGATTCTCATGTGTGTGTCCAAACCTGTGCTCTGTGTGAATCTTTTATCACAGACTGAGCAGCTAAAGGGTTTCTCTCCTGTGTGAATCCTGATATGTCTCACAGCATCACACTTATAGCTAAATTGTTTGTTACAGACCGAACATTTAAAGGTTTTTTCTCTTGAATGAGTTCTCTTCTGTGTGATGAAATGTGCACTCTGTGTGGATCTTTGGACACAAACTGAGCAAACAAATGGTTTCACTCCTGGAGGACCGCAGGTCTTCGGTTCAAATGTTTTACCACACTCAGAGCAGCTGATAGACTTCTTGCCAGTGTTACATTCTCTACCCCCTGCAGGAATGCCCTTGTTTGTCAGTTTTTTAAATTCTGACTGAAGTTTCCTTGTTTTCTTCAAGTCATCAGCCCTGTTTTCAGCCTCAGGCTCAAAACAGTCATAAGTCCTGACATTTACAGCTTGTTGATTGACAGATACACCTGTCTGGGCCTCCTTTAATTTCACAGTGTCGGTTTGTTTGGAAGAGTCTGGAGTCTCATCATCATTAGCTGGTTGTAAAGAACCATCTGGATCTAAGCTCCTGGTTGCTTCTGGTCCTCCAAAGTTCTCCCCATCACTCTCTGTTTCCATCTGTTGAGCTGAGCTACAGGCTGAAACCTCTGCCTCTTCTCCGTTCTCATCAATTTCTCTTTGATGAAGCTGTGAGGATTGAGCTTCTTCTTCATTATCTTTACTCTTCACAGGGACAGGTCCATGACGCTGCTCTCCCTCCCATCTGCTGCAGAGTTGCGTCTGATCTTCTTTAATGTGTGGTGACTCTGGGTCCTGCTGAACGTCTGCAGATACAACTAGAATAACAGACAAATGAATACAGAGACTTCTGGGGAAAAAACGTGATTATATGTGCAACATAGCAGAATGTAGCAATGGTGTTATGATGTTATCTCAGACTGAAAATTTGTGTTTACAGTATATTTACTATTATCACAATCACCCTCTAACCTTAACCATGTGGGTGTAGTTGCCTTAACTTGATCATATTATTGAGAGAGAGAGAGAGACAGAGAGAGAGAGAGAGAGAGGCCCCTTTTACACTGCCCGTTGAATGTGGGAATATCGCTGATATGCTGCCTCACTGTTATGTATAATCGGTATGATCATGGAATGGGGGGAAAGAGCTGCTTTGCCTTTAAGCTGGCATTTGAGATAGTAACAGTACCGAAGCAGTGTTTCTCTCTTGGATGACATACACTTTAGTAATGAGTGGATCTTTCGGTGTTTAAAATATATATTAATTTCGACTGGATTATGTGAACTGCATATATTCTAATCCTCACTTTGAGAAAAAAAAAGCATCGTAGAGTGTCGTTCCTGTGGGCTCCAGCAACACTAAACCCCAGTGCTTGTCTGAGAAGGACTAAATGCACTAAAATGCACAAACATAAATGCACAAATATCCCATGGAGAGAAACTCTCATTGCAGCCTGTCCTGTTTTGTTCTGAAAATGTCAGTGTGCAGCCCTGTGCTGTGGACGATAAATGAGATGCAGACTTCCATCTGTGTCACCGGTAATGAGGAAATACAGCGAGTGGTGGACAGAGCAGTGAGTGACAACAACCCTGCCTACATTTAAGAGCACTGTTTGTGGTGGGAACCCTGAACGGATCTAGGGTCTGGGTACCATGTCTGAAGGGTTACTTTTGCTTCCAAAGGTAATATACCCAAAGTGTTGTGTAGAAACGGGACTTTAACAGGACAGAGTTGTTACCTTTAAGCTGCCACTTGGCAGGATGAGATCATGAGCAGCACTGGTGTGACATTTTGACAATGCAATATGTGTGCGACCCTCTGCGGGAGAGTTAGCAGCTAACTCATAACAACAGTGAACAGTGGCCCAAAATGTCTGGAAATTGGGAAATAAACTGAAGAAACGAAATGAGAAGAAACAACTCCTCACCAAGGTCTTTCAGAGGAATGCAGAGCAGCTGTTAGATTCAGCTGAAACACTCAGTGAGGTCAGCCAGCTTACTGCCTGTTGACAGTTATGCACGTCAGAGAAAATATTAGCTTAACAATGAAGGAAATGCACAAGCAAAGGGAAATAATTTACATGTGTTCTTTTTTTTAGGGCATTTTTTGCCTTTAATTGATAGGATAGTTAGGTGTGAAGGGGGGGAGAGAGAGGGAGGGACATGCAGCAAAGGGCCACAGGCTGGAGTCGAACACGGGCTGCTGCAACAACAACCTTGTACATGGGATGCCTGCTCTATCCACTAAGCCACCGACGCCCCAGTTTACATGTGTTTGATGGACAAGTGATCAGTGTGTAGTCTTAACATGGCTCACTGGTAAATCAGCCAAAAGAAGGAAAATCACATGAAGTGGAGGAGCAGGTACTTCTAACAGACAGTGGCAGACCGTCCCAAAGGACACATCAGCCCTTTTTACACAGAGATGGTGCTACAGAGCTGCTGTGAAGTCTCCGCTTTATGCCTCCTTTGCATTTTTACACAGAACCAAACAATGGTGGCATCATTCCACTCAAGTGTGTGATTTTAGACAGCATGCTGCCATCACAGACACAAAGGAAGTGCGACGGGCGTGACATGTAACACAACAGCGTCAGCCTCTAGTGTGACATATAACATATGTGTTGACATTGCTTTATTAACAAGAACAATTGCATTAACATGACAATAACGACCATTTACCATCCCTTTTATATGACAGCTGATCTCTTCCTCTGCTCAGAGAGTAAGGAGCTCCTGGACCTCGATTTTTCCCCAGTTAAGGACGTTTTCAGCCGCTGTTCTTGTTCTTGGATTAGCTGCTCTGGTGCTGTTACTACCTCTGTTCCCTGCTCAGAGGAAAGGCAACTGTCCCCACAGTTTGCTAACATACCGTTTATACGGAAGGATGAGGTGGGATAATGGCGTGATATTCCTACTTTGAACAGGCAGTGTAAAAGGGGCAATAATCATCCACCTTGGGCCCCACGGTGGGGGGTGCTTGGGGAAGGGTAAGCTTGCCCAGGGCGCCAAGTGTCCTCAGTCCAGCACTGCTGACAGACTTCATGGGCAACTTTATTTATCCTTTAGGCAAGGCAATTCAGTTTCGCAGTACACCCAGTACAGTACACACACGTGAGCTCAGTGGGATCAACACGTCAAACCTGAATATGCGGTTTGGCTACAATGCCTGCAGTTACAGTGGCTACCAATGTATCGTTAATGTAACTAAGAAGAGAAGTTGAATCGTCAGTTATGTACATTCTAACCACTGGCTACGTGTTTTGTTGTTCTATCTGAACAGATGCCTCTGGAGTAAACGAAGGTGCAATGTTATCTAAACAGCGTGTAAATATGACTAACCTGCTCTGTGCACCCGAACTTGAGGTTTTAAAACAGCGTCCAGTAGTTTCCGCTGTCGCTCGTTCTCCTGATTTGACCGACAAAGTTCCTCTTCATACTCTGCTATGGTTCTTTCCACCAGTCCAAATATTTCTTCAGCAGCAGCAGTTAGACGCTCACACACCAACGATCTCAACAGTTCCACTTTAGACATGTTTAAAGACAAACACGCTGTCTCTGTCTGCAGCTAAAACAAAACCACTTCCTTCCGTGATTTGTCAAGCAGCAACACTAGCGCGACTTCCGGCCCCAATCTTCCACAATAAATCTTCATCTTCAGTAATGTTAACTTAGTGAAACATTAAGGCCAATTTCCACCAGATGCGTGTTGGTTGCGTCTGCGCTCCGGCACGGCAGCGGAGCCGATAGGATTCCATTCTAGTCAATGTGTTTGTTTCCACCAGCTGCGGCTGTGCTGCGTTCCGGCTCCGTCTCAGCACTCCGGAGCCCTCCGCAACAGATACGCAGGACTTCTATTTTTGCCGGACGCCGGAGCACAACGCAACAATTCAGCACAGAGCAGATCGTGCGGGGCAGGAACTCGTGCACAGAAACACAATAAAACATCCGGTTAATTTTCAAAATAAAATACATAGTGTTCACCGCGGATCATATTTCCCTGCACTACACCTTAAAAACTACATAATGGGCATAGGCAGGCCTGAAGTCAACAGGTCAGAGGTTTTCAGACGTCATTTCACCCCGTGAACACCATGGACGAGGAGATATTAATCATGGCAGTGCACCGAGATGTCTTTCGGCAGAGCTGCACCGCACCGCACAGCAAACGCAGCCGGTGGGTATTGACGGACGGCGGAGCACGCAGCGGATAACCAGCGCTGCCGTTCCGCAACGGACACGCATCCAGTGGAAATCCGGCTGCACAGGTGGACAGATTATGTTTCAAAATACTTCTTCTGTGCGGGATTTTTTTTTTAATTTAATTTAATAACAATACACTGTACACTGAGGTTATTTTAAGACATACTGGGGCTACAACACAACCCCTATTTGTTTAAAGGGGGGCTGCGTCCATTTCAAAATTCATACATGGTACTCTGATGGTTTCAGACAGTCCAAAAATATTACTAAGTATCATCAGCTCTCTCCCAAATCCAAGAAATCGTGCTAAAACTCAAATCTGTGATGTCATAGGAAGGCTCCAGAGCTGCATATGACTCTTTAGCCCCTTTCCAGTAGCTCCCAGTAGCTTTGACACAAAATTATATGGAAAAGAATCAGTTTTTTTTCCCTTAGATTTTAATTTTCATTGTGGGGTTAAATATTCTACAACTGTAAACCGCAGCCTAGACTTTTAAGAAAATTGTTTTATGGAACATTTCATCATCTAAAATGTTCGTTATACGTCTGTGGCCTGGCACCTTTTTTATCTAATACCATAACTAGCAATGGCTACAGTAGTATTGAGTCTCCCTGGCTAGGCTAGTGGTGGATTCCAAATCTAAAAAGGCAAAAGTCTCACGGGAAAATAGAGGATTAAATAGGGCTGCAATGGTATGAGATTTTCAGAGTACGATAACCGCCTTAGAAAATATCGTGGTTTCACAGTATCATGGCATTATAGAATTATTATTATCAGTCAGAATGACCTTTAAAGGAATCCAATGGAAGGGTTACTTTTGGTTAAATAATTGTTTAATTCCTGTAATTGAAACTTAAAACTATTTTCAATGGAAGTAAGTATAAAAAGTCTCCCTTTTGAAAATAACTAAAATAAAGTTGCACTGTTTGCAATATTGTAGATAAACAATGCACATGTTGCGATAATCATCAATTTTAATATTACGGTATTCCTTGAAACTGGTATATTGCTGCAACCCTAGAATGCAATAGTGTGTGGCCAAATCTGTTTGCTTTCACTGGCAACACTGCAAAGTTTAGGTACCAAATAATTAAAAATAGTCCACTGCAGAATAGCTACCTTGCGCTAAAAATATTAATGAATGCTCATTATATCTGGTAGAAATGTTGATAGGATAAATTCGACCTAAAAAGCTGTGTTACCTTTATTATGAGGTTCAAATAGGTTTTGCAGCTCTGGACAGATTTTTTTTTTAGTTATTTGGCCAAAAATGTCTCTTTTCATAGTAAAGGTTGCTGACCCTTGTCCTAGGGTATAAAGTATAGAGCTGCTCCATATACACTGAATGGTGAAATACAGTATGTTGTAGTTGACACTGACAGCACCCAGGGGAATGTTCTGAGATTATGGGTACATCTTCTGTTTCAAAGCTGAGAGCACTACAATAGAATAAAGCTCATTTGTGTATAAAAAAGAAAACTAACCTTCAGTGGATCCATCAAATCAAGCTCCTTTTCACTGTAGAATACAGAGAAAAGATATCTAATGTTTAAGCTGATAAACTTTGTTTTTTTTTTGTAATTAAACACTTTTGGTGTGTCATATCATCTCATTCATGCTAATACCAGTAGAATTTTTAATGATATGAAAAATTCATATGGTGGTACTCGCGATATTTCAACTTGTTGACATATTGATGTCATATTGTTACCCATGGCAACAACAAGCATGACTGGAAGCAAACTTATTACCGACTCTGCGGTGGTTCCAAAAAGAGGAGCATAAAGGTCCAGGTGGAAAAAAACAACTCAGTCATTTTAGGATTTTGCCAAAAGAGCAGGAAATCACCTATTAATTTATATAAATACCAGGGTACATTCTTTTGTATTTGGGAACGTTTAAATGTGTAATTTGTAGTAGATTTTATTTTGTCAGAAGATGTTAATTTGTCATATCGTCAAGTAGGGCTGGGCGGTATGACAAAATGTTCATATCATGGTTATAAGAAAAAATCATATCGGTTTCACGGTATGTTGCTCAGGTTCGGCCAACTTGACATGCTGCTGTGTTGTGCTATGGCCTATTCAAGTGCCGGAATTTGTTATTTACCTGACAACGCTTGAACGCAACATACGCTCCGCTTCATTAGTGCTGTGCTCGGTTATAACTGTCTCGGACTCGGGACGGGTCGGCTTCAGTCAGGAAAATGCGGCCTGGGCCGTGCTCTAGTGTGCTCACCTGTGTGTGTGTGTGTGTGTGTGTGTGTGTGTGTGTGTGGGTGTGTGCGCATCGGGTCGAAACTCCGCCGTGCGCGATACAGAGGGCAGAGGAGAATTGTAAACAGCGGTGCGCCGCTGCTAGTTGCATATAGGGGAAACACTGCTCTTTTTGGTATGAGTTCTTCTGGGTCATCGTGTACAGTTGCTTCACTTTCAGGACTCTCTCCGGCAGCCATTCTCGCCTCTAAACATTTCTATATGCTCTCACTCTCGCCCGCTCAAGCACGCCTGTGGTGTACAGCGGTGAAATGGGTCCCCACTGAAGCACTTTCCCGCCGCGCACATTCCGGACGTTGTTTGGGCTATTCACCGGTATTGCGGTATATGAAAAAATCCTATCATAACGAAAATAAATACCGGTTTTCGGTACGAACCGGTATACCGCCCAGCCCTATTGTCAAGAATATCGTTATCACATAAATACCCTGAAATATCCTGATATTATTTCAGGGCCATATCGCCCACCCATTCTGAATGCATAAAACAAGGTGCTTGTCTAATCACTCAACAGTATCTAAAACCCCATCTCACACCTGTCAGAATCAGAATAAGTGTGGCTACGGTTAGTTATTTTTGTGACTTTGCCAAACCCTCAATCAAACAATCACACCCATTTCATACAACCATTAGCCATGTATGCACAGGTGACATAATAGGCAAGGCTTCTTAACAAAAACATTTCTTACTTTTCACATGCACAAACGAGAGCAACATGGTTATAGAATATTTACTGTTTTAATGTTATTTGCTCTTTAATAGAAACTCTACACACATACTTAGCCTCTTGGTTTTATTTTATTTTATTTTATTTTTTTTAAGCGCAATGCCATTTGTGACTTGAATGCAGCAGTTTTTCAGGCACATTCACCTGTTACTGCTGGCACCAGCACACTTATGGCTTTTCACATGTGACAGCAAACTAAAGTTCCGCCCACAAACACTGCAGCTGTATGGTTTCTCTCCTGTATGAACTCTGATGTGTCTCTTCAATGTTCCTTTTTCACTAAAATGTTTCCCACAGAATGAGCAACTGAATGGTTTCTCCCCTGTATGACTTCTCAAGTGTATAACCAATGTCTTCTTCTGACTAAAACTTTTGTTACACATTGAGCAGCTGAATGGTTTCTCTCCTGTATGACTTCTCATATGAGTCTTCAAATTGACCTTTGCACTGAAGCTTTTGTTACAAACAGTGCAGGTGAAAGGTTTTTCTCCTGTATGGCTTCTCATGTGGGCATGCAGATTTCCTTTGCATCCAAATCTTTTATCACAAACTGTGCAACCAAATGGCCTTTTGAGGGTGTGGGGCTTATTGTGATTTAAAGCGCTCTCATTTTTCAGTGTGTCTGAACCTGACTCCTGCTCTCTTGTCTCCTTCCAATCATCAGTACTGTCCTCAGTCTCTGATTCACAACAATATAGAGGTAGCACCTGATGACTGTTGTCAGTTGTTTCCATCTGTTGAGCAGAGCTGCAGGCTGGAGGCTCTGCCTCTCTGCTCGCCTCACTTTGTTTTTGATGATGCTGTGAGGACTGAACATTGTCTTCGTCATCTTCACTCTTCACAGAGACAGCAAAGAATGGGAACTTGGTGATATCATCTTCCTCCAGTCCTTGAAGCTGCTCTCCCTGCTGACTGCTCCACACTTCCTCCTGTTCCTCTTTAATGTGCAGAGGCATTGGGTCCTCCTGCTCCAAACTGGTCCGCCACTCATGCCGCTCTTCCTCTCTGACAATCAGTTTTCGGACATCTAGAATGAAACCAGCCAAAACATTAAACCTAAAAACTGTTGAGGTTTCATATTTAGCCTTAATAACAGTTAACATGAGAAAGACTTAAGTATTTCAAGAGGTAAATCAGTTTAGTGAGGCAGAGATAAAACATAGTCATCTTAGATCTGATGCCAGAGCAACTAATAGTTATTTGTAATTTTTCCGTAAAATACAAAAAAAGAAAAAGAAAAAAGTGATTTTCCACTTGACGTGTGATAGTAATAACGGGGACCCCCCTCCCCCCCTTGAAGATCAAGTTTTATTGTCTATATAGATCACAACAGAAGTCATTTAAGGTTACCTTTCCTATAGAACAGGTCTATACCTTGTCCTT